ACCACAACCCACACACACACAATTTAACAGATTCTCCCAACTACCATGTATATTCGCACAACCACCACCACCACCATCCTCCTACCCGCCATCGCATCACCATCTCACCCAAATCTAACATCCGCACCAACGTAGTGTCGAAGTAACAGCAAGCTGAAGTGGCGTAACTGACGATTGCTTGCAACAGCGACGTCGACGGCGATGTGACGAGCAGTATCAGCACCTCCAACCCGGCGGCACCACTGTGCGTAGCGGCTGCTTTTTGTAGCTGAAAGAAAGGGAGAGCGAGGGTAAAGTGTGGAGAAGAGAGGGAAGTCGATATATGATTTGGGGATTTTGGATTGGGGGTGGGGTGCATTGTATTGGGTGGTGATTTAATTTATTATTTCAATCAATCTAATTTATCACCTGATTTATGAAAAAAAACTTAATCTTCTTTTTTTTGAAATATAATCTTTAAATGCAGGTTCCCGGGTATAGTCCACGATACGTAAATAAATATAAACATTTTATTTTGATAAGATTGTCTTGCTTTTATAAATTTCAGTCTTTGACTTCTGTATAGATTGAGAATGTTTTGAAAGCCTTCTCGTCAGTTGCCATGCTCAAGTCTATTCACATCATTTTTCTCATTACTTGTTATTATGACTAAGAGGCACAAAAAATAAATGTCAAGACTGTATTTTAATTATGAGCTTAATCAGATGTCATGGTCATGCAATTTGGATTTGATCAAACCACTAAGTAGGGCCGGACATGAGGAGAGGCCTTCTCATCAGGCTCAGCTTTTTAGGTGGGCAAATTTTCTTAATTTTTTTTAAAAATAAAACCCACTATGCCTAAGCCTTCAAAAGTTCAAAACTTCCAGAGTCCACACCAAAAGCTTTAGAGATCAATGGTAAAACTTAGATGGAAGAACGGCGGTGGAGGTCGGAGACAGAGCTGATGTGGTATACTCTCTTGAAATTTTTTTTCCTAGTTTGACAAGGAGTTGAAGTTTTGAACTGTATTTTAGAAGCACTTATTTTGTTTTTTGAAAATTATAGAGAACCTGGATTTGCTAGTGCCATGGATGAAGCTAAACAAATAGCAAGTGAAATGGGTATTGAAGCTATTTTCTGATAGAAACGTTTCATTCAAAGAAAGATGCAGTTAGATGAAAGGGACAGGAAAGAGGTAACACAATCAGTGGAAGAATATTTTAAAATTGATTATTTTCTCTTTATAATTGATCACGCTCGATCTTCACTTCAAACTCGCTTTGAACAATTTAAATATTATGAAAAGACAATTGAATTTTCGTTTGGGATAATTGCAATAAAAGCTCCAAAATTTTAAA